GTATAAAACACACAACATTTACCCGAGAGCTTCTCTCTTTTTTAACACACTGAATGGTGATACACTATATATATATATATCTCGGTTTTGTTCTTAGTTGGCATCCAAGCAAAAGAGAATCCTGTCACAATTAGTGTAATTAAAGTAAAAAATTATGTCAAGCTTTTCTTGTGCTTTTTTTTAATAAGTATTAATTAATATAAGTATACTTTTTTTTGATGTTGTCATTTATCCGTAATGTTTTAATGTTAAGTGTGATAACATGCTCTTGATTTGTATTAGATTTTTTTTCTTTTAAATATATTAAGTTATTTGAAATAACTTATTTTTTTAATTTTTATATGTTTATTATCTTAAGATGTTAAAAAAAAAATCCAGATTTTTTATTATAATATTTATATTTAAGTGTATTGTATTTATAACATTTTATTTTGTCATTAATTATTTTGTATTTTTATCATTTTGTATTGTCTTAAGTTGTCAAAAATGTTATCTTTCTTAATAAAAGCTGTATGTATGGATTGCCATTTTGTTGTCTATTAGACGTATATATGTAGTCGTTTAATAGCCGTCTAATTGATCACTAGTCTATTCCTGGGCTATGATTAGACGTCTGTTAGATTTTCACTGACAGCCCAAATTTAGACTTAGCCTTGTTGTCTGGGCTGTGTTTAGACGGCTAATAGACGTCTTTTAAACGCAAAATTGCTTGCTGGGAAGGTAAATGTAAGAGAAATGTAAAACAAAACAATGTAAAAAAAAAAAAAGGCAATGAACTCAGGAGACAGAGGGTATAATTTACACAGGCTAATGAGAATAAAACTAAAAAGAGGTATGCAAAATAATCAGTAGGCCTAAATAGAAAGAAATGGAGACAAAGGAAACTAACAGGTACAACAAAGTATAAACTAAAACGAAACTGAAACCAGAATGGAATGTGAACGCTGTCAACACTTTTTGTACTGTGTTCGCACCTGTAGCTACTGAGAGAAAGTGAACCAAGTGAAAATGAAACCGAACTGAGGCCGGCCGAAGTGTGACCGCAGCGCATGTTTGATTTGGTCTAAGATGCGGTGTGTGCGACATCTAGTGGTCGAAAAATCATATATAGCCCCTTTAAAATTTTTAGGTCATTGCAGCACTACATTAAATTGATGAGCAAAGAAAATTGAATAGCTATAATCTTGGCCTGCGACTCAGAATGAAATAGCCTAGTTATTTTAACAGGTACAAAGGCAAAACGTGTTTGTAATGTTACTGGATACAAATTGTGTAGTACTTTGGGTTACTGGGTACATTGATGTCTCTTTCTCACCGTCTATAGCTAAATTGTATATACATTTACATTTTACATTTAGTCATTTTGCAGACGCTTTTATCCAAAGCGACTTACAATTGGGGGATACATAAAGCGATTCTTCTTGAAGAGGCAAACAGATACAAGAAGTGCTTGTAATACCAAGTTTTAGACATTGTTCAAATAAGTACAAGCTAGAAAGGGAAGGAATAAATAAAGATAAATATTTTTATTTTTTTACATATTCCACATGATGATATAAGTAAGGAACAAATTGAAATTTAAATAATTATTTGCTGAAAATCTCCAATGTAGCTCTCAAATCTCATTCAGCTCTCTTCTATGTTAGTGTGTGCATTTTGCATGATCAACATTGCGGCATATTTTATTGTAAGCCAGCATGAATGAGATGGATGTTTATGATGAAGTCAAGTAGCTTCGAAAGAGATGAGTTTTCAAATTGAACATTTTTTCAATTGAAAATTGTCAGGGATTCAGCATTCCGGATAGGGGTGGGAAGATCGTTCCACCAGCCAGGAATGGTGAACGAGAATGTTCTGGAAAGTGATTTTGAGCCTCTCTGTGATGGTACCACGAGGCGTCGCTCACTAGCGGATCTCAGACTTCTGGAGGGGATGTAGATTCGTAGTAGTGAGTGGAAGTAGGCGGGTGCTGAGCCTGTGGCTGTTCTATATGCAAGCATCAATGTCTTGAACTTGATTCGAGCCGCAACCGGTAGCCAGTGCAAGGAGATAAAGAGAGGTGTAACATGGGCTCTTTTGGGCTCGTTGAAGACCAGTCGTGCCGCTGCATTCTGAATCATTTGTAGAGGTTTGATTGTGCTTGATGGAAGTCCAGCCAGAAGAGCATTGCAGTAGTCCAGCCTAGAAATGACAAGGGCCTGGACAAGAAGTTGTGCAGCATGCTCCGTTAGAAAGGGCCTGATCTTTCTGATGTTGTGCAATGCAAACCTGCAAGATCGAGCAGTCTTTGCAATGTGGTCTTTGAAGGTCAGCTGGTCATCAAAGGTTACACACCAAGATTTCTGAGCCCTCTGGGGTATATAAGTTGCGGGCATCAGGGAGCCTCTATCAATATATTGGAGACTCCCTTTACCCTCTGGGGGAAGTGGGATGTCTGGCTCAGCCCTATAAAAGACCATTTGAGCAGACATTTCTGCTGCATAGATATATGAATATTATATTGGAACATAGTTCATTTTGTACTTGCAATTTGTTGTTTTCTCCATTTGGAGCTGTTCCAAAATGTAATGTCATTTGCATACATTTCAAACTGCATTAGCCTCATTTATGAGCAGGGGCAACAGATGATTTGATGAGGATGAAAAATATTACCAATAATATACATTTTTTGTACAGATTGGCCAAGTCTCATTCATGAGACATGAGGGAGACAAGTGGCTTTTCCACAGAAATCCATTCTGCTCATTGTCACGCATGCACCCTGATTTGCTGATGTGCAAGATTCAAATTCCCTCTGCTTTGTAAAAGTAACTGTCATACGGTAGCCTATGGCTTGATAGGAAAATAAAAATGACCAAAAGCAGTGAAGAGCAATAGATATCAATACATAATGAGATAATTGAATGTCTCTCTCTGTCTTTGAGGATAAGATTTCAAATATGAAAGCAAAACAGTAGAACAATAATTAGTAGCCTAAGTCCAGTATGATCTACTGTAATAATTTACTGAAAGTTATAATATATATTATCAGTTAAACTGATTAACTGGAGTATTCACTTCATCTGTGAACATGCAAGACTTCCGGTTCATTAGCCGCTATACGTAAATAGAAGATTAATAATAAGTAAACAGTAAATCTATTTGCAATACAAGCTGCTTTATGATTATGAACACAATACATTAAAATAATATGATAATAAATTCCAGTTTGAAATATCAAGTAGCGTAACAGAGTGTTTTTGTACAGCTAAAATGGCTGTAAGCGAATGACACCAGAAGCTTTGCACATTAATGTTAGAAATGGCAGCACCTGCTCTTACATTAAAATAAAGTTTAGTTTTATAAAATAAAGATTTTAAAAGCCATTCAATTTTAATAACTAGAATTATTAGTAGTGGTATGTATTTCTCATTTCCTTATTGTTTTGATGAGATGGAATGCATACGCCCTTTTCCCGAGTAAACAATGAGCCCTGCCATGGTGGATTTTAACTTCCGTTTGTATGCTGCCTTGTTTTTGTCTCCCTAGGATCCCATGTGAAAACTAGGTAAAAGAGTGACTGAATTAATTAAACGGAAACTTTTTGATTAAGCTGTGCTGCCACCACAACAGCAATAAACTTGAGGAAGTCCTGGACAGTACTTGTTCTGAGCACCAGCAAATCTAAAAAGAATGTCCGTACGGCGCCATATGTCTAGCATTCTATGCCAAAAACTCACATGAGAAAACAAGCACGGGTTGCAGCACTTAAGATAAAGACTCACCAAAGAAGGTTTATGTGTGTCATTATTCGGTGGGCAAACCCTGAACTTCAGCCCGATAGCGAGCTGTACGTAGGATATGAGCATTTAGGGAAAAGGTGATGAAGGGAAGCTTCCTCCTTCTGTTGTCTCCTCTGCTCTTCTACTTCCTGTTTTAGTGAGTCCAGCTGCACTTCAGATTCTACAGCTGCAGCAGAAACTATTTCTATTATATTCATACTATGCTAAATAAAGTGTGTTTGTTGTTCTGATTTTTTGGTATCATGGTTTCATGCATTTGCAATATTTCTAGTAATTCAATTAGTTTTTCTGATCATATGCATGTTACATTTACCTGCCTATTTCCAAATGAAGTTTCAAAACTACAAGGGTTTCACAGCAGATTCATACCTTTAGTCCATCTACTAGTGATGATTTGTCTGCTCTTTACAAGAAGGCTTGTCAAATTTCCTTTCCAATTTGTCTAATGTAACAATGAATTCTGTGGCTTCACAAAGAGAAAAACTGAACCCAACCAGCACCTGAAGCTGAACAAAAGTGGAAAAAAGGCAAATTACAAGTGTAATTTGAAATATTATGTGTCAATCAAAAATCAGTACATTTTTGACATTATAGCGAAAAACTGCAAAAAAAAAAAAAATATATATATATATGTTTTCAATTGCAGTATGTGACAGCTTTCTAAAGTTTTTTACAGATAAAATTGTTGATTTAAGATAGGATATTGTATCTTTAAACTAGGATCCATCTGTTCTTTCTCTCTGTGTTTCATCCTTTGAGGAATTTCAGGCAGTCTCTTTTAACTCACTTCAATAAAAAGACGCAAAAGAAAACATCAATTTTAGCTATGTGCTTGGGAATGTGAACAAAATGAAAGTACTGTAACTCGATCTGATGTGTTCTAGGTCATCAAAGCATCAGTTTTTGTCTTTCACAACATCTTTCACAAAATCACAACATCAAGTCTGATTCTTCATGATTTCAGAGCAAAAGTAAACTTCTATTTCTGCAGAACACAGTAAGATATTTTGAAGATTGCTGGGGCCCAAACAATACTAAACCCCACTGGCTTTCATTTTATAGACAGAAATAAATAAATAAAACACAAGCACAGAAACATTTTCCAAAATATCTCCTTCTGTGTTCTAAGAAGGCAAGTTAAAGTTAAAAGACCCTCCCACTTTGATCAGCTATAAAATGAGCACTGAAACAAACACTTTATTTCATTCACCTCCTGATCAAGATGGATTTACAAATCTCTGTTTTTCTTCTGTTCATTCTTTTCACTCCAGGTACAAAGACAAATAGTTTATAATTTTATTAAGTCCAAATACAGATTTCTAGCATGTCTTTTTCACCGTCTCTCTCAGGACACTCTCTCAGCTGTTATGAGTGCACGGGTCTGAAGGGTTCTTGTGCGAATCAAAAAGTAAAAACATGTCCCAGTCGATTTTCCAAGTGCATGAGTACAACGGCTGTAACACAAGTTGGTAAGTCCAATATGATGGATTGAAATTTAATATTTTTGACTGATGGAGATGCTGGTGTTTTTTTACTGGTGCTGCTTCACTAGAAATGTAATTTCTCACAGAACTACTAATTTCCGCACAAATGTAAATCACAGAATATTCTATTTAGATTTCTGCTGTTTAATTTTTTTCTATTACACTGCTTGAAATTAGAAAAAAGCTACATCTTGGCATGTTTATAAATAAATATTTTATCAAAATAATATGTCGAACTGGTCTTTCCTGAATCATTCATGTTTTAGGTGACATTAGAGCTAAAGTGAAGGCTAAAGATTGTGCTGTTGACTGTGCAAGTGGGTCCATGAACCTCAGCATTATAAAGAGGTCTTCAGTGTGCTGTAACACAGACCGGTGTAACATCCAGGATGCTCCAGGTATTGTGCTTTACTGACCAAATGCAAATGACTATCTTCTTTAAAGTCAACACGTACTTCCAAGAGACATTCAGTCAGGAAATACAATACAGGCTGTGGCTTGTCAATCGTGAACTGATTGAATGGAGCAGCTAACAGAGTGTTTTTTCATTAGATATGATATTTTGTACAGACAATAAAATAAAAGAATACCTGTTTTCTCTGTAGATCCCAGCATTGACTCCAATGGAAAGAAATGTTACTATTGTGATGGGAAGAACTGCTCAAACACAGTGAGCTGTTCAGGGAGTGAAGACCAGTGCATTACATCATCAGGTGAGAATCTGCTAAAGGAAAAAGATTAAAGTCGTTATTTTTATCTCTCTTATGTTAAATGGTTAAGTAAGTCATCATCTGTATATCTTTTATTTTTAAACATGTAATACATATAATATACACCTACCAGTAAGGCTTAAACTAACCTGTGTTTTTTTTTTTTTTTTGCTTTTCATCAGCGAGTTACGGAGAGCAGTCACTGGTTGTAAAAGGCTGTGTCTCTAAATCTATTTGTGATTCCACAACATCAGATGGTGATGTTCAGAAGATCTTATGTTGTTCAGGGAATCTGTGTAATGGTGCTCAGAGCGTCACTCAGAGTGCTAACAGTGCTAAAAATGTCACTCAGAGCTTCCTGTTCCTGTGCGGTTCTCTGCTCTCCTTCATCCTGCTGCACTGAATCCAGCAGCTCTTCACATTCTACACAGAGACACACTGTACTGAATATAGAGCTTGTACTTTCTCTGTATCTGTAGTGTTCTAATGTGACTGTTTGCTGTGACATTTATGTAATATTTATGTAATATTAAGTGACCTTCATGCTGTAAGGACAACTTAAATATATACCCAAGAATAAAAATATTGTAATCCTCAAAAAAAAAAAAAATAGATCATGTGTAAATAAATGTGTTCGGAAAAAAATGTAAGATAATTCTTTAATTATCAAAAAAAATGTGATTTTGACAATTTGACAATATTTGCATTTCCACTATCAGCATTTTCCTTTTTACAGGTAGGCTACAGTTTACAATGGCAACAAGATAAATAATTATATATGTTGAGAGGTAGGCTAATAAGGCAAGGCAAGTTTATTTATATAGCACATTTCGTACACAATGGTAATTCAAAGTGCTTTACATAAAAGAAAGTAAAATAATCATTTAAAAAAAGTAATCATAAAAATAAAACAAGGAATTTAAAAACTTTGAAGATTATTTAAAAATTGATTTAAAATGAATTTAAGACAATTAAAAATAGAAAATGATTATACATACATAAAATACAGTGCAATCAGATCGGACATCGCACAGTGCTCATTCAATAAATGCACAGCTAAACAGATGAGTTTTGAGTCTAGATTTGGATGTGACTAATGTTTTAGCACATCTGATCTCTTCTGGAAGCTGATTCCAACTGCGGGCGGCATAATAGCTAAAAGCGGACTCCCCTTGTTTTGTGTGAACCCTTGGTATTTCTAACTGACTCGATCCTAATGATCTGAGTGGTCTGTTAGGT